TTTGTATTTTCAAAATATATGAATATTATTGTTTCATAATAAAAATATTATATTTATATATATTATATATAATAATTCATTCTGTATATTATATATAATATTAACATGATTCACATTATAATATTATTTGATATAGTATATCTTTATAAAATAAATTCTTATCAGATAATTCTAAATATTTTTTCATAACATTATTATTTCCTGAACATATATATATAGTCTCTTTTATACCAAACTAGGATTATTAATATTTATATCTGTGATATTAAAAGATAGATCAAAGGATTTATATGTGAATTATCTTAATAATCCAATAAAAAAATAAATGAAAAACTGATAGGAGATATATAAGAATATGTATATGATGCTCGGCGAAAGAAAACAATAAGACAACAATATAATATGTAGTGTGATACATGAAGAGATAAAAAGGAAACGAACTGTAAGATCAAAGAGACAAGGGGAGAACTACCGACCTGACACTCGTGGAACCGCTTATGGAAGCAGTGGCCGTCAATGTTGCGCAGATGTGTGCGCGCCACGTGTATCGGCAAATGCGAAGAGGGGAGTACCGCTCCGTCCTCCGCGCCAAACACTGAATTGCGTCCAGTGCTTGTCGACCATATGGACATTAGGCTTGGTTCTTGTGTGGCACTGACAAACGCTAAAATAAAAAAAATTATAATAATAAACTATTCTAAATATTAAAATTATTAATTATAAAAATGGATAAATTTTCACTGCTAATTACTATATAGTATTGATTCACAAAATTTAAATAATAGAAATTTTATCTTAAAATATTAACTTTTTTAAATAAGATAATAAAATAAGATTAGACAAATAAAATAATACATACAAATAAGATAATAAAATAAGATTAGACAAAATAAAATAAGACATAAGATTTGCATTTAATTCCTTTTGTATTTGTACATATATAAAAATTATGTATCCATTTGTTTTTTCTTTATTGTATTGTACTATTACGTATTATTCAATAATGCAAAACACTGATTTTTTGCCTGTTTCATCATTGAGTAATATAATAAAATAAAAAATTTGATCTACTGAAAATGCAAAATTGCATTGAATATGCAAAATTATTAAGATTAATCGTCCATAATAAATAAATAAGAATGATAAAACAATCTTTATTCAAATAAATTCAATTGTATCATATCATTTTTTTGTTATAATGATAAAAAAATTGGTTAATACCAATATTCATGCATAATACCAATTTTTATATCAAATTTTGTCACGTATGATGAAATTATGTATCTATCTATACTAATTATAATAATCAAAAACAGTGGATATATGTATATTACGTTGAGTATAATCTTAATGCAATCAATGACATGATTTTAAAAAGAGAAAATGAAAGGAGAGAAAAATTAATCTCAATTTTTCAAAGTTAATTTTATTTCTTAATCAAAGTTAATTTTATTTCTTAAAATAAATTGATTGTTTTGATTTTTTTTTTTTTTTAATATTTATAGCTTCTTTTTATTTTATTATATACAAAATATATGTATAAAGTGTATTTATATATCGTTTAGCTAATACTTTTAACACACTAATGCATAACCTTCATAAACAGTCAATTAATGCCTTAAAAGAGTAAATTTTTTGTTTATATTGTTAATATTCATTGAAAGTGCAAAAAAAAGACTTAATAAAGATTTAAAATAAAAAAAATAGTGCATTTTAGTGCATATTTTTAAAAAATTTTGAATTTTGATTTTTTATTATTTATTTAATTTTTATTATTATTTAAATTGATAGCAATGATAGCGTTGTACGCACAACGTTCGCTTTCATTTACATGCTATTATGCAAACGATATATTTCCTGCAACCTTTTCAACTTAAACGCCATCAAGGAACAAATATTGAAATAAATGTATGCACGCAGAATTAACATTCTTTTCTGTACATATTATTTGATCATTTATATATTATATATAAATGATTATATATTATATATATATATTTGATATATAAATCAAAATGATTTATAATTTCTATATTTTTGTTTCAATAGGTTATTGTACTTGATAAAATTATCATAGATATTATATATAATATTACTAAAAATATATCGGTACTTAAAAAAAAAAGTATTACTTTAATTAAAAATAACTGTAGCTAAAATTATCTATTGAAAATATATATATAATATGTACGTGCAGATGAAAAATTATCAATAAAATTATCAATAGTAAAAATAAATATTATTAATAATAAATCTTTGAATATCGATAAATAAGTAATATACATTTTGAATATTAATAAATTAATTTTTTATATCATAATTCCTTTAAATATTACAATAAAAAAGATTCAATTTTTATATAAATAAAAATTTGAAATTATATAAATAATATGATAATATGATTCATTTCAATGGATCTTAAATCTGTTTTTTTCGTATAGCTATTCTTGTTAATTTGACCTTGATTTTATGCTGCCACAAAAAAAATTAATCCAAATTAAATATTATGAAAAAAAAAAAAATATTTTTTCTTTAATAAGCATTTCAACAATATTTTTTTTCTGAATTAAATATATTTAAAACTTATAAAAAAATGTTCCATTTCATAAATATATAATTCATTAAAAATTATCTTTTGATATTTATAAATTTTTATTTTATATATATATATATATATATAAATTATTAATAATAATTTTATATCTAAAGATTATTATAACATTATTTTAAAGAACTAACAAATATTTGATATAAGAATATATTATGTATATATGTTGTAGACATATTATCTACAACATATATTTTAAAAAAATAATTAAAAAACATATACTTTTAAAAAGTAATTATAAATCTCAAATTATTCAGTGTGTTAAATATAAGTTTTTATTATATATTACTTAAATTTATAATAATTTAATTATATGTTTATGTTTTAAGAACAATATAAAAACAAATAAGTATTAATTATACATCTAGAAATGATTCATAATTCCTATAAATATAAATCCTATATCCTATATCCTATAAATATAATAATATCGATTACTAGATAATAAGAAGAAAAATTTTCCTTACAATCTTTTTTTAATGCTGATTCAAAACATTTTCATTAATCATTCGTAAAAAAAAAAAAAACCATAACGAATTATCTATGTTGTCATTGAGTTGCAACTAATATAGTTCAGAGATACGTGCCAATATCACTAAAAATACAGACGACGGTAGAATGCGTAGAGAGCTTGCTGATACGATTTATATACCAAATTAAATCATGATTAAAACAGCTGAAAAAGTCATTATTGATGAAAAATAATTAGTTTTATTTGATGTACTCATATAGATATGTCATGTCATTATATACGAGGTCAACAAATTGTCGAGCCAACATGTTCTTGCTATTTATGAATGCTATAAGATAATGAACATACATATATATATACATTGATAATTTGAATATGAAAAAAAAATTATTAAAAAAAATTTTATAAATACGATAATTAGAAAAATAATATAAGAACTTTATAATACAATTTTTTTAAAAAATGAGAAGAATAACATTGATTTTTTTGATATAATTTAAATTATAAATTAAATAAAAAAAAAATAAATAAAAAATAAAAAGAAAAAATTCAGATAAAAATAATAATTCATTTTAGTAAATTATGTATTTCAATAAAATAGAAATATATTAATAAATAATTATAAATTCTATTACCATTTTGAGAAAAATTGAAGAAGTATGTAAATCAACGTGCGAACTCATAACAGAAATCAATTTTATATACTTTTTACAAGAAAAAAAAGATGTGAAAAATAAGAAACAAATAAAAACTTAATGGAAAAAAAAACACTAGCATTTGATTTAAAATTATGACACTAGAATATTTGGAAAATGAAAAATTTTGCAAACAATTAAAAATCACATCAGATGACAGCGCCGAAAGACATCAGTATACTGAATAAGAACGCCGCGATATGGCATCGATGAATGTTAACGACTGACGTCGAAAAAAGCCGATAATTGCCGAACATTTTTGGCGCGTAAATTAAATATCAACAAATCTCAGATACAAATAAACAATGCAAATTTGATATAAATATTGATCTTTTTTATTTTATTAAAAATGAATAAATGAATGATAATTTATCAATTTATAAATAATCTTGCAAAATATTTAAAGATTATAAATAATTCTAAAAAATCAAATAATTGCTACTCTAAACAGTAATTAAAATTAAAATAATTTTCTATATTAATAATTCTCTCTATATCTATTCACTATTTTAATTATATATTTTTATATAATTTAATTTCTATTAATTTCTTTTAATGTTTCAATCTTAAATACATTTTACAAATTTTAAAGATATTTAAAATCAAACAAAAAAGAATTATAAGTGTGCTCAAATACCGTATTGCAACATTTTCGTTTACATTTTCCTTGTACATCAAAGGATAGATAAAAATATAAACCAATGTTTGATTAATGTTAAATCAAATTTATCGTTTTTTTAATGACTTATAAACAGTTTTGGTATCTCCAATTTTGTAAATACTGCGTATATTGAAATGCATTAAATCAATAATAAAGAAATATCATAAGATATAGTCATTTTTAAAAAAATATATTTATATATATTTTATATATATATTGAAAATATATATATAATATAAAGTTCACGTAGAAGTCATAGATGCAAAAATTTTCATTACAATAAGCTGAAATACTAAAATAATTTTAAATAAAAATAACTAATAATTTTATTTTATGAATTTTTCTTTATGGCAAACATTTAGAATGTTTCATTTCTAATGAAAAAAAAATTTCATTTCTAGTTCTATTATTATTTATATTCAAAACCACATAATTTCTAATCTATTTATTGTATTGTTATTGATTGATTTATATTTAAAACTTAAAAATTCTTTTTAAGAAAATTATTCATTTTATTTTACTACACTTGCTTTAATCCATATTAGATGCCTGATTAATAAGATTATTAGTATATATAGAGAAAATTAATTAAAGAAAATTATTAGTATAGATTAGAGAAACAAGTAATTTAGAAATGAATCATATTTTTTATGAATTTTATTATGAAATGCATAATATGTACTACATTATGCAATAATATGTACTATATTATTACATTATTAATTATATTACTGTATTACTAATTATCAAAAAATTATAATTTATTACTTATAAATAAATTTTTGTAGATTACAGGTAACATAATAATTACAGATATTATGAATAAAAAAAATTAAAAAAGACGATATATGAATTATAATTTAAACTAGATTCGATAAATATCATTTAGATTCAATATACTTAAATATTTTTTAACGCAATAAATTTTTTTTATTATGATTGTTTTAATGGAGATAATCAGAATGTAAATAATCAATATCTATAGATTGGTATTGTTTAAAATATAAAATAATTACAAAAAATTACTTACTTAACAAGGTTCTGATAGCGATAGAATTTGTTTAACCTCGATATCGATGAATGTATTCTGTCATATGATCTGTTTTCTTGTCGAAATTTATGTTGGCACAAAACGCCGATAATGTATCGCTTGAAACAAAACTGCATTCTTTGATGCAAATTTAATCAAATAATTACAATTACATGAATTACTTTCTCGATGCTAATTAACCAGAATATTTTAAAATTGATATAATATTGAACTTATTCGATGAAAAATCACACAAAATGTTCCATATCACTTATCACCTACACCATAACTAGATGCACGAAAACGAGAGATCAATCGAGTTGAATGCTAATGACTATCAATATTTTCATCATAGATAATATGAGAATCTTTCTGCAGATGGCATTAGTAGTACTTCGAAATGGCAATACAAAATTGAATATCAAATTTTCTTCCAACTGACCCACAAACTGCTTATAATAGTATTATATATCTACATATTATATAAATAAATATGGCGTCCGTAAACCTAAAATTATCAAGGTTACTATGATATAAATATGTAACAAAAATGTTGATCGATTAATCAATTGATTAGCATATAATATAAATTTATTAAAACGGAATATCAAAAGACTAAATCATACAAAATAATCAGTTAATAATAATCATAGTTTTCAAACAATCTTACACTGTAGTTACTCACAAATTCGCGCGCATTCAAAATGATCCAATCCAATACTGTATTTTTCCCAGCGTACGCTGTAATCTGTGGAGGAAGAAGAACTCATATCTCAACACGTTATCAATAATTCCAATTTAAAAATAATTGAAAGAACTTTTGATTGATTTACGCTTCTCTATTATAAACTTGGACACGAACGGGGCAAGTGGTGGGGTATGCTCTAGCACGGTAGCGCCCCAGGCATCATGAATACAGCGTAAAACAGAACGGTACCACTCTTCGAGTGTCAGTCAGCGCGCAATATTCATTTTTAGTAGGGAATTGATTCTTGAACTGGAGCGCGACGATCACAAGAGACACCTGTTGCGCCATAAACTAAGCCTGTTACCGCGAAACACGAATGCAATAACGATTATTCGAACGTGCTTGCGCGCCAAGTGACGACGTAATTTGTTGACGATTTAATAGGCAAAAGTTTTTCGAAGAAAAGTTATAAATTCGTTTATTTCGTTAATTTTTTTTTTAAATAATTCAAAGTGCATTTTAAATAGTGATTACGAAATTAAACCAGTTAAAGGGAATTTATTTAATTGCAACACACATTTTTTACATATATACGGAGAGAAGTTGAAGTATGGTAATTATTGTATCGATTATATTAATTTTTTTAATAGTTATTAAATAATATTTTTTTTATAATAATAATTTTTTTATGATTTATTTTGAATTTCATATCTCAATTTAATAATATTATATAATATATTTCTTTATAATTCTTTATAATACCGAACTTTATCGAATTAATATCGATCATTTATATATGATCAAAAATTGTAATTATATGGATATTCATGTAATTTTTTTTAAAATTCTAGTTATTTAATCAGTAATATATTTTTTAATACATTTTTTTAAAAGATACAAGAAGAAGGATAAAATAAATTAATAAATTAATAGATATAAATTCTTTTTTCATAAAAAAGCATCATTCAGTTAAATCATGTTTCATTTCTAACCTTTAAATAAATATATATATTTACATTTATTATTTTATAAAAAAAATAAGAATTGATTTTAACATTTATAATTTTGAAATGCAAAGTGAGTTTATTCCTATGCATAATAATAAATTGATTATCATACAATAATGCATGCTATGTCTATGTTATATTAAATTTTTTAATATGACGAAAAAAATAAATTACCAAGTTATCAAGAATTCTTTAAATTTTATATTATAAATTATTATGTACAATCTATTAAATTATATACAATCTATTTATCTATTTATCTGTATCTATTTATTGTATCTATTAAAATTTATTGATTATAAAAAGTTAAATGTATTTCATATTTGATGTCAAACATATTTATTCCAAAAATCTTAATAGAAGAATAGTTATTTTCAAAGTTGTCTGTTTTTAATTTCTTGTAATTTTATTGCATTGTTAAAGAATAATAATAATCATTATATATGTGAATATTATTATTTATTATTTATTATTTTAGCACAAATTAAAGATCAAGAAAAGAAAAATCTTATATGACACAGCATAGTTTAAATTTATATTTGATTCAAGTATATCCGAAAAAATAAGGTTGGTATGATAATAAAGTTGATTTATATGTATTATCTATTTAAATATCTGTATAATCATGCTCAATACAATCAAATGTTTATAATTAAATGTGAATTGTTTCGATATAATTCCGTATTTGAATGGATAATATAAATTAAATAATTATGTAATATAATATAACAAATATATAATTAAATATAGATATCAAGGAAAAAGAAGAATTAAAATAATAGCTAAAAGACAGATAAAAAAGAAACGAAGATGATGAAAATAGTGGGATTGGAGGACAACCAACGATTTGCATTGATGAAAGTAAGTCAATGACTCGATTTTAAAAAATATATGACACTAGAGGTCAATGATGATATGCAAAAAGTATTTAATATATTTTTTTGATGAAATTTTTTAAACATTATTGACATAAAAAAGAATATAAATGCATCATCAATAGTTCACAATTGGTAAAAGTAAAACTTTCTAAAGAAAAAAATTTAGAGAAATTTTTAGAGAATAACTTTATATTATTATAAAATAATTAAAGAATAATTTAGAAAATAATCTCAAAATTTCATTATCAATTTTTTTATTTTTTTATCTTTAAATTTTTTAATTTTTCTTTGAGATCTTATGACTTCTATTATGTTATCTACATAATAAAATAATTATATTTTAATTTCATATAATAATTTTCTTTTTTTTAATTACAATACATTAATACAATCACTAATCAATTATGATTACTGTCATTACTATCATTCGCATCTTTTCAAAATACTGTTCAATCAATAAACTGTTATTATAATCTATCTACGATTATTTTATTATTGCTTCCTATTTCTTTAAAACTTTCATTCTATGTCACCAGCAACGGGTATGTTTTTTATCATCGCTTTCGTCGTTCGAAAACGTATTATTATTTGATGAATTTCACCCGAATGAAAATCTTTTTATCGCGCGATTTGGACCGTGCATTCCCATCCACATTTCTTTCGTCTATGGTCGCCGATTTCTTTTTTTGAGAGTCGCTAAATCTATCCACACTTTAAACGATTTCAGATTCTCTCCTCGTAAAAGACAATTCTTATTATACTTGTGTTTCTCTAAAGTAGTTTTTTTTATTCAAACACTACGATGATCGAAAGGAAACGGTACCTCGTGTAAAACAGCACTTTCTTTACTCTATCGTTCTTTGCAGATATATATGTAATCTTATGTGGCAAAGATTAGATAGATACATAAGTCCGAGATCTCTTTTTGCTCATTATTTGCTTATATATAAATCTATACTTATAAGTTAGTTTCATCAAATTTTTGAGAATTATGCTACATGATATAAGAATATAGTTAATATTGCATGCGCAGTAAAAATGTTTTGTAAAATCGATTATCTCATAATTATTCAGACTATCTCATAATTATTGTAATAAAATATACGAGTAAGATTGTATGAAGGATATTTATGAAGGATATAATATGTATGACATTCTAAATATTCAGAAAAAACTAGTAAAAATAGTACAATTAACATAAAACAGAATAAATATATAGAAATGTTCATCATATGATCTGTTTACTTTTACATCTTTTTATTTTTTCAATAAGAAAATAATATAAAAATATTATGTGCATATTCTGATTATTTATAATGAGTATCATTATTATTTTTATTCTTACAAACTTCATTATAATTTTAATTTTTTCTTCTTTAATGTGATTGATAACTCAACTGTTAATTTATGTATTTGTGATAAAAATTAAAAATTGAAAAGTAAATAATTAAAAAAATCTAAAATAAAGTTATAAAATTTAATAGATAAAATGAATCTCTATTTAATTTTTATTTATTTAGTTATTTTTATAAAAATATAAATTTGTATATCAATAAATTATTGTTAATAATTGATGATGAAATAAAATTTAATAAATAGAGTTTGTCCATCAAATTTAGAAGATATATTTCATATATATCAATCTTATAATTATCATGATTTTTTAATTGCTATCCTTTTCAATGTTTAGAATTTAATCAAGTATAATTTTAAGAAATTTAAAACAATTTTATTTAAAAAATAAAAGAAAGAAAAAATAAATTTTCATTACTAATTCGATATATGTCGGTATTGGTAACTGGTATTTCGGTTATGGGTAACCGGAGTGGGTTGACCTGTAGAAAAGTCTATGTGAAAGTAAATACAAGTGGTTTTGTGAACAGTACAAAGCGAAATAATCAAAGATTTTTGCGCTGACCGTAAAATCATCATTGCATTTCTCTGAAAAACATTTTGCTTTCACTACAAATCATAAATAAAAGGCGAACAAATAATATAATATACTAGTAGCAGATAAATCGTTTACAAATTATGCATAGAAGTACACATTTCAAATTTTATCTTTTTATTATGTCATATAATTACAATATACATAGTATATCGTAATCTGTTAGGAAAAGTATAATTTAGTTACATAGTTTCTACAGTTCTTTTTTGTTATAATTTATAAAGTATACTTGTTCCAGTTTAATAGTACATTACTATTTCAATTTTATTATCTATTATTGCCTGAAATTTAAAATCATCATTGTACATTCTTTGTTTCTATCATTAAAAATTAATGTTAATTATAGTACTTTCTTTCTCTGATTTAAAAAATACAAAATAATATATTATATTAATTATTATACATAATAAATAAACTGTAATGTTAATACAATAATAGAGTAACAAATTATGAAGGATTAAAAAAAAATGAAAAATTATTTCTATCGCCATAAAATAAAATAACTTATTTTTAATTTAAATTCTAATTTTCATATATGAAACATAAAAAAAAAATCATTCAATATAATATATAATTTAATAATTTTATATATTATATAATTTAATGTATTCTGGTTTCAGTTTAGGAAGGCAGTTCAAGATGTAACACAACCGCATCATGATGATAACTTTCTACTACGTTGGCTTCGAGGTAAAAATTCTTGTAATTTATTATAATTCTTGTAATTGTTTACAAGATCTCTTAATATTACATGCATTAAATGAATAGCCTGAAAAAATTTAACTTGGAAAATCATCCTTGCTTTAATCGTGCTTAAATTTTTATATTTTAATAAAAATAGTACGATAAATGTACGGTAAATTTTTATGATAATTATTGCTTTTATATATATGTATGTTTAAAGGCAATAAATATATATATTCATTTTTAGCGTTTTATTGAGATATTTTCCTTATTGATTAATTCAAAGTCAATGGCATGATTATTTTATTAAATTATTCAGTAATTTAATATTAAAAAATTTTTACTCGAATAAATTACGATTTAATAAAAAAATTTTATTCCAATAATTTTTTTCATAATTAAAAAAAAAAAAACTCCAGTTTAAGATTTTTATCTGAATTTAATAAATTACGACTTCTAAGAAAATTTTTCGATGAAATTACTAAGAATTCTTTTATCTTTTCGATTATATGTCTTAATTGTCTTTTCAAACAAGATATGATCTTACTAAGCAAAATCTATATAAAATGTTATTAAGAAATTAATCTCTTTTTTTTTTGAGCATTATTAACAACACAAATAAAATATGCATTAAAAGAAATTTATATAAAATATAAATGTTTCTTGATTTAAATTGAATGTAAAAATCTTGAAATCTTGAGGATAAAAATGATTATTTCCTATTGGAATAATAATAATTTTATATTTTATTGTATTGATTGCAAATCAAATTAAATTAATGTATTTTCGTTAATAAAATTAAATATATCATTAGATAAATAAAAGATAAATAAAGTTAAATAAAAGAATACTAAAATCTTAAAAAGATATTTAGATATTTTATATAATACAATAAAGAAACTGATATCAGCGGATAAACACATTTTTAAATGTTTCACTATATATATATGATGAATGAAATATTAATCATGAAATTTAATTATGAAAATGAATATATTAGATATATTTCATAGTTTTGATATATTTTTTAATTTGTTATTTTAGATATTTTTAATTGATTTTAAGTTTAAGATAAAGTTTAAGTAATTTTATTCTAAATGTTTAGAA